GCTGCCCCTGGGGCGCAAGTGTCCCTGGCCCCTGGCGCCCGGCAGGCGAACGGCCACGCCCCCTGGTGCCCGACAACCTCGAAAGGTTGGGGACCACTGACCTAGGGGCTGGGGACCTGGGACCTAGGGGGCTGATACCATGAACCTATATCATGAATTAAAAAACAACTCTTAGCTCAAGCTAGAGAGAAGATGTCACTCTGTCTCAGTGCTCCTGGGTTGCAGATGAAATTTGGTGAATATACTTATCCTTAATGCATTTTTATTTGTACCACACCTGGTACACATCGCTTAAAACTGTTTTTTAACCCAATATTTTGAAACATTTGTAAAAATTAAGGATTTTGATTTTTCAGAAGTGCTGAGTACCCACAGCTAGAATTCTCAAATGGGACGGGGGATGTTTAGTATTTTATAGTAAGTACTTATCGGTTAGGGTATTACCCTACATTTTCACCTTCTCTTTTGGGCCAGGACCTCCCCTTCCCTTCCCCCCCAAAATCTGGCAAGATCCTAAATGGGCCACTTCTTTGAACTGCTGTTTGTGAGCATGGATGATCATGCCTGTAAAATAATAGACACACATTTACAGGTTGGGTTAAGGAAAACAAATCTAAGACAGACGCTAAATTGAAGAGCATCACAGCTCTGAAGAATTAAACCTTTTTTATAGTTGTGTTGGTCTGTCTACGCCAACCAGTGAGTCATGATTCCATAATAGAAAATAGCAGTAGCAGAATCACTGTGGTGCTGTCTGTTCTCCCGTCCAACATTTGCTGAGTTACGCAATACGAACCTGTTCTCCCATCCAACATTTGCTGAGTTACGCAATACAAACCAGATCCCATCAGCTGGTGTAAACCGGTGTTGCATCGCTGACGTCGGCTGAGGGATCTGGCCCTGTCCAAAAGAGGAGCTCATGCTTTCTGGGTTCTGCTTCCAGCTGTCGGTAATGTGGAAAGTAGAGACAGCCCTGTTGGTGGTGCATTGCTTTCTGCACTTGCTGGTGCCAGGTGCAAGACGGGAATGTGTGGCACGCTTGATTCTTTAGCTAGTTAAAGACTTGGGTTATGGTTCCATCACCACAGAACAATTTTGCTTATTCCATCCTTCTCTCAGGCAGGTTTTTGCTTCTTTGTGAGAAATGTTTCCTCCAATAAATAGAGCAGCCTCTGTCTCTGATCGTAGTACCTCAAAGAGAGAGAGAGAGAATACAGATAACAATTGCTGCTGGCAGTGAGGAAAGAAGAGACGTGTTTACTGCGTGAAGGCCATAACAATGCTTATGTTCCCAGACGTGAGCCCAGCAACAGAACAGGCATTCCCATCTGTTGAGCACAACTTTTAGTAGCTAAACAGAACCTTAATGTTATGTCTGGCCAAATTTGGGATTAAATAGGACTACAAGGAAACTGAATTTGCCACAAAGCTACAGGAAAGGGGCATCAGATGTTAAAACTTTTAGTCTGAGACTATGCCTACATTGTACTCTAAACTCAAAATAAGATATGCAATTTGTGCTATGCAAATTGCGTACTTATTTCGAGTTTTTCTAAATAGGCTATTTTGAAATTTGGTGCTGTCTACACGTGTGTTACCTGAAAATCTCATTCCTGTTGTGATTTCTTATGTGAAATTGTTACAGTAATTGCTCAGATGTCATTATAATGCTTGGGATTTTTTTTTAATTATTGTATCACTTGGTGTGGCTCCTGTAATGTATCCGTTGCCCAGGCCCTTTATTATCCGTGTTTTGTCCTACGCTGCTCACTCTGATGGGGTTATATACTGAGTAATCCCACGCAAGCTCAGAGTCATAGGCAGAAGCCTCCCTGGGCTCTGTGGCATTATTAACAGATGTGTGTACATAGTGTCTCAGTCTGCACCACCTGAGGCACAAGTTCTAATGTGCACAAGCGTGTCACGCACCAACTGGCCTGTTTGAGCCCTGTTAGTGAGCACTAAAAGTTCCCGTTTCATACAGTACTACGCTAACGTGTACTAGGGATCTTTTCGTCAACACAGTCCAGTTTGTGCATGACAACAGTTGTACCTGGTAGAATTTGCACCCCAGCTGGTGCAGATGAAGGTACCATGTAAACAAGCCTTAAGTAGAAATAGTGTATTTATCGTGAGGGCAGATTAGAGTAAATGCAAGTGTCTGTTAGTTCTACTGCCTGAATGTTAACACCAGATCCCTGCTTTATGTCTTCTACTGAGTGATTTCTGCTTTTCCAGATCTGGAACATGTAATTATTCTGTTGTATTAATTACTGTATGTCTTAGCCTGAATTGCGATTTTGGGTTCAGCGAGACGCTATTTATGCTTTTCCCATGCTTATTGTGTACAAATAAATGAACACTGTAAAAAATGGAAGGATTGTCAACAGTTGGGTCTGTCTTCTCTTGCCCTGCCAAGGTCATGAGACATAAGTGGTTAAAAATGGAAATGAACAACAGTAGTCAGAGAATGGTATGTTTATGGAAATATTGATGAGATGTAGAACACTCATGTCTTTTGGTAAACCAATAAATGCTGGGTGGGTGGATAGGGCAAGTGAAGTCCTAAACATGCAATGAGTCTTCGTGAGCCTAATGGACTTCACTCATTTCCCACCCCCACTTCTCTGAAAACTTTATGATCTTATTCATCTGATCTCTGTGCAAAGTATGCAGATGTCCCAATAAACTCCATTATTGTCCCTGACAGATCCTGAATATCGGGATTGAGCATGTCGTTCCGATTTGGACAGCACCTCATCAAACCCTCTGTGGTGTTTCTGAAGACCGATTTGTCCTTCGCTCTTGTAAACAGGAAGCCCGTGGTCCCTGGGCGTATCCTTTTCATAAAAGCTTCTCAAATGATCATTCATGGCTCCAGATACTCAGTCTCCCAAGGAGAGGAGAACTGTGCTCACTCTGAAGACCAGGTAAGATGTTACTCATATTTATTCTGAAACCAGTCAGTGGGATGTAATATGCTTGATCAGTGTTGCAGAACTTCTGAAAGTGGTTGCTTAGCAACTGTGACCTTAGAGGTGAATTTTCTACTGACCTTTTCACCACTGAAGATGTATAAATAAACAGGTGCTTCTGAAAGGATTTTTAAGTCTGCGAGGTACTTCTGTTTTAAATTTCACATTATGCGGAAAAAAGCAGGCTATTTCCTTGTTAATGTTGTCATGTATTTTGAGATGCAACTTAATGCTTTGCAGAGCATTTTCAGTGTGTTTTCTTGGAATTAAATGTACAGTATTAGTCAAATGATAGTAAATGTTGTTGAGATGACTATTTTCAAGACAGGTCACTTCAGGCAAAATGTACTTGCTTCTGTGACTCTGTATAGGAATGGACTATGCAAACCAGCTGTTTAATCAGAGACATTTCCTGAGGAAAAATTTGACCCATTGTTGAAAACAAGACTCATCTGGCTATGCAAATATGTATTGAGAGTTGTGCAGCTGTCTCACAAACTCAAGAAGTTCCTGCTCCAGGGCTTCCCGTAAGAGGCAGTCATGAGCACATGCGTCTGGCTCTGTTTTGCATGTAACTCCCACTAATTTCAGTGGAAGTTCAGGGTAGGATTTTAAAAAGAGTTTCGTATGGAACTGGTCTGCCTTCATGGAGTTCAGTAATCAAAGCCCTATGAGGGCAGAGTTAAGGACGTGCTTTGTGTGTTTGAAAATTCCATTCACGTGTAAATATTAGGTGTCAACTGTCAAAATTGTCAAAAGTATTCCAAACTTATGTTGGGGTTTGGCGTGTTTACAATTGCTGACTTTCATCAGAAGTCCCTGACTGGGTGTGGTATTACTCCTTATTAAGCATCAGATGCAGAGTCCCCCGTGCACAATCCCTTTCAAATATGCCTTGTATGCCTTTTTTGAGTGCCAGGTTTCTGTGACAGATTTGAGATGTTTCGTTAAGATTTTGTCCCCAAAATATCCTGGAGAAAGGGTGGTCTACATTACAAAGTTAGGTGAGCTTCAGTACATTTATCTGGGTATGACATTTTTCACAGCCTTATGTATAGATCTAAGCCCTGGTGTTGAGAGGACTGCGTTGATGGAGAGATGGATTTGTTGCAGCGACGGAAGAACCCTTTCCATCATTGTAGGACGTATCCACTACTATTACTATAGCCAGGGCTCAACAAATAATGTAATCTACTCGCCCGTGGCTCGGGCGATCTGTGCATGTGCAGATCGCCGGACAGGACGGCTGGCGAGCCCAGCTGCAGCGTTTCTATGTTGACATACCCTTAGAGATCACAGAAACTTCATGTCCCAAACTGACCCAGGTATAAGCTATTTTAAAACATTGACTGAACAGTTTAATTTTTGAAACGATCCGTTCTCTGGTCAACAACACACTATACACCCTGTATCCAATTCATTAATTGATCCCATTTTCAGTCGTATTTTCAAAGAATCTTACTATTGATATAATCAGTCTCAAGTACCTAGACGTTACGGACTCATCTAGACTATGCCGAAGTGCCAAAAGAGAATTTGCAAATTCCATGGGAACTTGCATATCTACTTCTGATCTCACTTTTGAAAGCAGAGCTTTCGAAAGTGCAAGTAGTTTGGACTCAGCTTTTTCGGTGACCCCCACGGGGAGGAGGAGGAGGAAGAAGGGGTCTAGGCTGGCGCTGGGGGGGGGGGGGGGGAGAGAGGAGGAGTGGCAGAAAAAGCCGCATCCAAACTACTCGCACTTTTGAAAACTCTACCATCAGAAGAAGATATGCAAATTCCCGCGGAATTTGCATTTCCTCTTTCGGCACTTGTGCGTAGTCTAGATGAGCCTTACATGTATGGAATATCCAGCTGTGATCGCAATTAAACTTTATAGCTACTATATGTGGAAATTTTAAAAGACTCATTAATGACTTTTTCAATTAGTACATTGAACAGATAAATCTGATAGTTAAATATGAAAAGGTGCTTCAGATGGAAATGTTTGTAAAGTTTTGTGGGGAGCTAGGAGTAAAGGTTTAAGGAGCCTATAAAACTTAATTATTACAAGCTCCTTTCCTTCTTAAATTATTAAAGGTCTATAAATTTCAACAGTATAGTTACTCCTCTCTGCTTGGTAGATATGTTTACTTGCTCAGGTTTAGTTTTGTTGGCCCATAATGAGTTTTGCAGCACATTTTATAGTGGCACATTGTTTTAATAGCTCAAGTGGTGTAATTTATAATGTGGTCTTTGTTTTCTTTTGAACAAATGTTCAGATAATAAACAAAAGCCCGGCCCTTTCTTTCCCTCATTATAATAAGAAAAAAAATGGAAAAGATCATATGCTAAGGAAAGAATACAGTCTGTAAAATAGAGCAATTTGCGGTTGTATGCCTGTAAAATGCCTGTATAATGCAGCATTCATTTAAAAGACCTGGCAGTAACAAGTGTATTTCCTGTGCTTTATTGCAATAATTTTATCTGCCTTGTCTTTGGCACACTTCGACATTCCTTTCCATTTTTGTTTTTTTTAGTAGAAAATAAAATATTAATGCTTGCGAATTAGCGCGACAAAGGAAATCAGTATGAAAGCTGGCTCACTCCAGGTGGTGGCTTTAATTAACTTGTAAGGTTGAAATTCCATCTTTAAAAGGCACGTAGGGTAGGAGTCCTGACTCTGCTGTAATCGGTCTGAAAGTACAGTTATGCTCTGGAAAGCGCTTCTGTAAAAATGGCACCATGGTGTTCAGGGTTTTTGTCTCGATGGCTCCATCATGGATTTGCTCAGTTTACAACTGAAAATGCTGCTTTCCCCTAATTGCCAGCCCTGCAAATTCAACCTGTTCTTTCTGGCTCCCATATCACCAGAAATAAAGCTCCTGGAACTAAAATTGAGTTAACAATTCAGTTGACGAGGCGTGAGCCAGACCGCAACCCAGTTGAAGCATCCAAAGATGTGCTGCCTCAGGAGAGCTAACGGGAACAAAGATAGTTTAGGGGTGGTGTGGGGCTGCCCTCCATCTCCTCAAGGGATTCTGCCTCACAGGTCTTCCCAGCATGCATTAAGATTAGGCTCCAGTTATTTCAGAGATGTGAATTTATTTGTAACATGGTTGCCTGGGTGGGAGGTAGGATCATCATCAGGTATCAAATCCCAAATGGTGACCCTCGACTGCCTGAGCTAAGAGGTTTGCCTGAAATCAGTAGCAGTCTCATAAACTTCTGTGTGGCCCATCCAACAAAGGCCCCTTGGTTCTGTGGTGAGTCAACGGGGGCTACACACGTGCAAATGTGTCTCTTGTGTTTCAAAGGATGCTATGTGATCTCCCCAAAACACATGGCCCGTTCCACTGGCTGATGCAGGGTGGGCTTGTATCAGCCCCATGCTCCTTTGGCAATGAACACACAAGGAGAGAACCCCCCCCGTGCTCAGTTCCTGCACCTGTGCACGAGAGTGTGCAAGAAGCCCCATCACCATCTCCCTCACTCTCCTCGAGAAGTCAGGATCCACGTCTGTAGTGATCACCTGAGTAGGTTCCTGATGAGTAAGAGCTATTGTGACATTCTAGGATTGACTGGGATGCCAATATTGGGCACTGTTTAGTTCTAGGAGAGCTTGTCTTTTCTCAGAGTTGGCTGAAGGAGAGATCTGTGCAATCCTTGTGAGAGTGTGTGAAAACTCATGCAGTAGGAAGCCCCTTAGATATTTAGGCTCTGGGTCTCGGAGGGGAGTCTTTCTCCCTCAGTGTGGTAAATGCAGAAGAGCTAGAGACTAAACTCCCATTATGTGGGAGAGTTCAACAGTTGTCCTTTTGGTGTTCTCACTTTGGGAGACATAATTGTTTCTCTCACACACAGCTTTGTGCTGCTGTGATAGCTTGGGAGGTTTGTGCAGGCTGGTGCTTATCTGGCAACAGTGCACGCAGTTGACCTTGGAAGGCTTAGCTTGTGACGTGGAGGGGTGGGAGTGGAGTGGTTATTCAGGAGCACTGTCACTGCAAGCCTGCACAAAGGGACAGCCATGTTCCCTGTACCTGCTCCAGGGTCGCATCTCCATTATTACAAGCCTATAGAAAGGGACAGGGCCTGTGGTATTGGTTGGGGAGAGGTGAAGTGAAGGCGGAACCAATGCTTTGTTGCTCCACACACACACCATTTTGAGTCTAAGAGGGGTAGCCTTATTAATCTGTACAGGATGAACCTCTCTAGTCTGGCACCCTTGGGACATGACCAGTTCTGAACCAGAGAATTTGCCGGACCACGGGAGGTCAACATTGTCTAGCAGCATCACCAACACTTCTGCTGCTTACTGGGCTCTTAGAAGACATTGAGGGGTAAATTAGAGCTAAATAACAGCTCAGAACACAGAGAGCCAGGACTGGTGCTTGTAAACAAACTGTACGGGACCACGGGAGACTTGGCTACACCTATGGTAAGTGGGCATCCAGCTAATTAAAATCATGCCAGACCACGGATGTTGCCGGACCAGTGTGCCAGATTAGAGAGGTTCAACTTGCATCTCCAAAATCAGCAAGGAATCCGATGGCACCTTAAAAACTATTAGTTGTATTAGGGCAAGCTCATCTCTTCATAAATTGGTTAGTCCAGTGGTCCTCAACACGGTGCCCGCAGGTGCTATGGTTCCCGCCAAACACTCTGGGCCAGCCCCGCTCCCGGGCATGCGGCACATGCGTGGTGCCAGCCCCGGGCACGAGGCGCATGGGCGGCCCCTGCCCCGGGCGCATGGCACGTGCCGGTGCCGGCCCAGGGCATGCGGCGCGTGAGCAGTTCCGGCTCCAGGTACCCAGCCGCCCCAAAAGGTTGGGGACCACTGGGTTAGTCTCTAAAGTGCCACAGGACTCCTCGTTTTTGCCA